TTCATTGGTGAGCTGCACTTGGTCCCCATAAAATTATCAGTATAAAAATACAATTGATTACTCCTATGTACACATATGTCTACAGGTATTGATATCAAATAATATCATGCACAGCCATTAGGATATACCACGCATCAGCGCATAGTTACTCTAAGACAAGAATCATATGCAGTCGATAACAATTATTACTATTCTTTTTGAGCGCACCTTACGACCTGAAATTAAAAAGGGTAAGCATTGAGGCTGGCTGCAAATGCAGTTTCAAATTTGGAGTATAGCACGGATACATCTTTGAATAATGACGTTGTAAATGATTTATCACATTTCAATTCATGGTACAGGAGCCAGACTCCAAGTTAATTGGCAGCTAAGATCTATTTTCTCACTCTCACACACAAACATACAAACACGAGCGCAAACGCATACACACGATCAATAACAATTAAAACACAATCATGCGTACTGATACTGCTATTTGTTAACACAAATTATTTCTAAACACTTGTCATTCTTGCAGTAGAACAATTGAATGATTTATACGTAAATATTATAAATACAGCCTCCTGTCTGGCACTGTTTTCACTATTGTGTCAGGAGATCAACGAATAACTTGCACAGCACAACTTTCAGACAAAGCGCACGCAAAACAGGCACACAGACATCACGCGGCATACTTAATACAGATCTCGTCAGCTCGTTACTTCTTACAGAAGAATCTGACTGATTGCTTAATTGGCTCACGGAGCCAATGATCCAGAGGAAGAAAGCGGTGCGCTCTCTCGTGGGTGGCACAATGGACACGCAGAAAAAGAAACTTGTCGCATTCAAGGTGTGAGCAACTCATTCTGATTTGGGTCCTTCCCAGTCCGGCCTCAACACGACTCATCCGCTCCAAGGACTTCCCTCGTGACGGTGGCCGCGCCTGCTGGGCGGCTGCTGGGACGGCAGCATGCGATTCTTTTCTCTGACCGCCCCTCTCTCTCTCACACACACACGGCCACACGCTCACACCACCTTGGCGACAACTTGTGTGTCCTTGTCGGCCTGGGCGTTGCGCTTCTTCTCCCAAGCGTTGACCATGTTGAGTGGGTAGCACATGACGGCCGAGAGCGTGATGAGGATCCCAGCCAGGTAGAAGGTGTAGTCGAAGCCACCAGTCGCGTCCTTGAAGGCACCTGCAATCAAATAGTGCGTGTCAGAGGCGAGTCCGTTGTGTATGGGGAAGAAGAATGAGGGAATGGGAGTGAGCAGGCATGTAAAAGATCCATAGGCTCTCTGCAGTTGCAGTTGTAATCGCCTCGACCATGCGCAAAGTAGTGGTAAGTACACCATAGCTATTTCGGAGTGCAGCGTATGTTTGCCATGAAGTGTTTTGGATGTCCGAAACGGTCCAGCCCTTAGCAAGCTGTTACTTAACCCTTACCGGCGATAGGTGTTCCCATGCAGGCAGCTACACCCTGGAACAGCAGGAGCAGTCCAAAGGCGTTCGTCAGCTTGTCCAGGCCGAGAAGTTCCACAATCAGGATGGATCGGAGTGACGCGAAGCACGCTGCAGAAATTTAAGATTTGTTCAAGGAACTTCCGTGATCCAAAAGGCGGCCGGGTTGCCTACTCGCCCCTGGCCCCGAGCCGTAAGACACCCGACGATGTCTTACAACTTACAACTGAGGACGGGGCGAGAAAGCTACCAACATATTTGCATAGCTCATACCAATGGCAAGTCCGAAGACGGTGGTGTACGAGAACTGGTAGGCTGCCGTGAGGGACAGACCCGAGAGCATGGTGCCAACACCGCCCAGGGTGAGAGACACGTTGTTGATGAGCAGCGCGTTTACGCCCGGCATGGAAGAAAGCACGCCACAGGCCACACGAGCCACCGTGTTGCTGATGCCGATAGAGGGCACCAGCCATAGGGCTGAGGACTCTTCCCATTTACCCTCTACCGCTCGGGCTGAAAGAGAGAGGAGGGGTGTGTGACGACGAGCTCGTGGGAAAAGTGAGATAGCAACAAAAAGTTTTTTGAGAATTTTCGCCAAACAAGACTCACCTTTCAGGTAGCAAAAGGGTACGTAGAAGCCCATCATGGTGAAAAAGCCGGACATGGCGAGCAACAGGAAGGTTGGTGAACGGAGCAGCGAGAGGTCCAGCATAGTGTACAGCGTCCTGCGCACGGCCTCAGGGCATAGGCTGCACGTCTGCGACGACTCCTCGGCCAAGTCGGCTTTCGTGGGCAACCGCGTGACAGACATGGTGTAGTCCAGAGCCGATACCTGTACCAAACGGACTCGTTAGAAACACGTGTTATGGCAACGCTTTGAAGTCCAGCCCACCCACTCAATGCCCGCTCAAAGAACGGCGCTGTCTGCGTCTGTAACGATAACACCAAACGAAATTCTCGTTCCTCCGGTTTCGTTTAACTTTTTCACCACAGCCAATAATACTATAAATTAAAATAGTCGCAAAAGTAAAACAAGAAAGTCTGTTTGGGTGGCCGGTTGGATAGTTATACAGTCCGCGCAGCATCATTGTAGGGCGTTGTCTCGTCCGACACATTCTAATTCATAAATGAACAACAGGCGACACTGCTCCATCTGATCTGACTCCAATCAATGAGAAAGGATGACCTTCACTTTCATCGTTTACAATTCAGTCATCGTTGTTTTCTAAAGCAAACACTGTGTGTGTGTGCGTGCGTGTGTGTTTGCGCGCGCGCCACACAACCCTACACTCACATTTGGCGCCGAGCACAGAGCTACTACTACCCCAACCACCATCGTCACTAAGGGAAATATTTTCTGCGAGGCAATAAATGTTTGTCTAACGCTTCCAACTTTGTCCCAAAGCCCGAAAATAGAAATTGCCTCACTATTCAATTTGTGTCTTGAGCTAAAAAAAATATGTAAAGTGTTTCATGGTATCATCTGCTTAAAAGGCAGTTTCCTTGGGCTGGACTCCAAAAACGGGTTCTGCGAAAAGGTTTCAAACGGGACACTAAACGTAGTCCTTGCCAGAATTATCTTTCTTCTTAGTGCGCTAGTTGCGGGTGCGGGCCATTGATAGAAGCCAAACGTCCAAGCTGAGCTTCAACGTTATGTTTTAAATATAATAAACGACCGTTCTTTACCTTGGAGCCGTACTCAGGCAGGCGTTGCAATGAGGCGCCAAAGAAGATGTCGTCCCTGTACATGGGCCTGGCGCCGGTGGCCCTGGGCGTGCCGTTGGCACCGTGGTGCGTCCTGCGGCCGCTGTGTGACTCCGACTGGGCGCGCTGCCTCCGGGGTACCACAGCGGAGCCACGTCTCTGCTCGGGCGTCAGTGCCTTGGCCACGCGCGGCGAGGACGGAGGGGTGACGCCATCCTGCAAACACATGGACAATTTTTAATTAGGTACATTTTTCAGCTGGTCCACCCAAGAAAGCGGACGTTTTTTTTACGATATCATTTCCCTCAGAGCGATTTGACCCTGGCCCTCGGTCACATAAAGTACTCTCCACTAATCAACTGGACATCTAAAGGGATAGTCGCGTCACCCTTGTCGTCCACTTGTATTCGGAAAAATGCACTTGTAAACAAGTGTTTAATTTTGCACGTCAATTGCATGAACAAGTTCAATTGTGATGAGTGCAGTCACTGAAAACTGCGCAATGACGATTGTTGATCACTATATAAAGATGCCGCAACAAGGAGCACACTGTTGGTTTTCGTGAGTGTTCTTCAAAACGAAAAAGAACCGCTTGTCCTTGTCTGAGCGCCTGTACAACTTCAGGGTAGGCCGACCCGCACGACACGGGTGCGTGCAATTGCCTACCCACCAGGCGCCCTGCGTCCTGCGTCTCTAAGCGTCTGCACCGCTCCGCACTTACCCGGATGGGCGCGCTGAGGCGCTTCTCGCTCTTGCTGAGGTCGCCGTTCAGGTGGTTGCCGTGGTGCTGTTGGTGGGCGTGCCCCTTGTTCGGGGTGACGGACACGTCCAGGGAGAGGCACGAGGCCTTGAGGACTCGCGTGGACGCCCCGAGGACCTGCGCCGCCGTAGGGTAGTTGTTGTTGGCGCCGTGGTCGTGCAGCGAGGCCGTGCTGTGCGCACGCAGTTCGTCTCGGGCGCGCTTGATGCGCTGCAGAAGTGGGAGCCGCTGCTCGCCGGCGCCCTCGTCCTTGGCAGCCGCCGCCTCGGCGGCCTCGAGCTCCGCAGCCTTGATGGGGTCGTATGGCACCTCTACCTTGGTGGGCTGGAGCGGCCGGAACAGAGCCCCCATCAGTGATAGCGAGAGCACCATGCCTGTCAACATATCGAGGGTGAACTCATGTTATTCGAGCTGTGCCTGCCTCTGACTTTCGCGGAACGCTCAAAAATATAAGAAAATAGAAAAACACTATGAAAGTTTGAAACTGATTGTAAGCTTTTATCGTTTGGATCGCAAATACAAAAACTGTGTGCTTACCGCCCTGCACCAAGAGAAGGCCTTTCCAGCCGAGGTGCGCGATGATAGCCTCGCAAATAGGCCCCATGAGGGTGGTGCCGATGCCACTGCCGCACACCGCAATGCCCGTGGCCAGCGCACGCCACCGCTCAAAGTAGAAGCCTGTCGTGATGACGGAGGGCACGTAGATCATGCCGAAGCCGATCCCACCCAGCAGGCCGTACGAGAGGAAGAGGAACTGGACGCTAGTAGCCATGGAGGAGAGGGCAAAGCCCGCGCCACCCAGCACCGCACCCAGAATGGTGACCAGGCGAAAACCATACCGATTGGCCAGGGCTGACACGAAAGGACCTGTGGAAGAAAGCAGGTTATCCGCAGGTGTCACCAGATAATAAAATAAGAGACAAGGAAGGCAAAGGGGTGGTTATTCGAACAAAATGATTAATGATGGACACAATTAACTCGTTTTTATTTTCATCCAGCTCACCTGCCATGAGGTAGAAGCCCGTCTGCAGCGAGCCGACAAGCGCCACCTCAGATTGGGCCACTCCAAACTCTTCTACGAGCAGCGGCTGCAGCATGCCGAACGTGAAAATGATGCCGTCTACCACCAGGTTACACATGAAAGATGCAGCTACGATGACCCAGCCCCAGCCGCCATCAGGTGGAACAACCATGTACGTCGTCATGGTAAGGGGCTCGTCTTCTAAGGCCGTCTTTTCCTCGAGCAGTTCATCAGGGACCTCATTGCCATCAGCGTCCGTCACCGAAACCTACAATGAAGGAATTCGAATAATTCAGACGTGATAAGTTTACAGTTTTCTCGATAACTCACTACCATTTTGTCTCCCGATAACATTTTTTAGAGTAGTCGCAGCTTTAATTTGACTATTATGTCCTCATGATTTAATATGTTGTTTCTTACCAAGGTCTCTCTAGGGTGGGAAGCTGTTGGTGTAGGAGTAGCAGGCGCCGTAGGCTGAGTGGATCCGCTGCCCGAGGGGCTGGCCCGATCCGAATCTTCGCTTTTCTAAAGAAGGGAAGGGAAAGGAAGTGCGTCAGTTATATCGATGAAAACCATCGGCAAAAAACAACATTCCTCCATGAAACAGAAAACAAAAACCTCATGCGTTCTTTCAGTGCTTGAAAAGATGTACATTTTCTCTTACCCAGTCATCTTTATTCATGGATCCGGAGCTGTTGAGCTGCAGAGCGTCTCCGTAGTCCTCACTGGGACTAGAAGGGTGTAGGCCCTGCGGGTCTAGATTTGAATACTGTGACGGCATCGTGGAGTCTGCAAATAAATAAATATACACATGCGTCAGAAAATTCTATGGGGCAACCTTACAAAAACGGGAAATTTGAGAAATGTAAGTGGATGGAGAAGATAAAGACGTTGCTACTGGGGAAAGTAAGGGGCCTAGGCGATAGTAATGGAGGCATGTGTCCAGTTATGTCGTGGCTTGGCAGGCCCCGAGGGAGGGCCGGCATCACAGCAGCCAATATGCAGGGGATGGTGTAGGTGTAAACAACAAAAAAGCCAGCTTCTCTGGATGATTATAATC